GCGGAACTTGCTAGTTGAGTCGGCATCATAAAAAGGTTTCGCTTGCTCTGAAAGGCTCTACCAGGGCAAAGTGAGAGCCGTCCCATTTTATGGGGGTGAGACTTAACCCCTTCGATCTGAGGACCTGCGGCGCCTTCAAGTCCTTGATCATCGTTGTCTGTGAAGCATTGCTGGTGTCGCGGGTCACGAGCATATCCGCAACGATGATGTGCATAGACGATTGCTAGGCGGTGATACTCCTGGTAATTTCTTAGAACAGCAGATCGCACTGAATAAGTTGCATTGGCTTGAGCGCGTGCTACTTATGCCCGGTCACCGCTTACCGATGAGGGCTTTATTCTTGTGCCAGTTTTGTGGTGGCGCAAGGCTCGAGGTAGACAAAAGTTGACTTGGTGGGGGGAAATGAAGTCACTGACGACGCAACTCCGTGCCGTCGTTCCGTCTCGCACTCCAGGCTCAGCCCACGTGACCCGCCTTGCGCTTGGCTCGAGACTTTGCAAGACATAGCTCGCAGTCGGCACTAGTGGCGCAATTGCTGCTCGCTACTAGTCGGAATGCCTGTTTAAACTGTTTGTTGCTGAGATATCTGTAGGGTAATGGCTGATCGTGACGCGTGGCAGTGAAAGCCGCAAGGATGCTGTCTCGCCGATGCAGCTTTATCTTTGCGGGATAGCCAGCTGTTTATGAAGGTATGTTGTCTACACAAGGTGTAGCCACCTTGATACTGAATGTTTGCTTAGGTCATTAAGGTTTTCCGGTAAGTCCCCTTTCCCTCTCTCTTATCTTTCTCTTTTTTCCGTTGGTCGTTGTCGTTGTATGGCAGCGAGGCATCAGTTCATGAAATATGCCCATAGTGATAGCAACACGCAGCTCAGCGAAGAATTTTCGATATTTCTCATTAGGCTAGCCGAACAACCTCCTCGTGGTGCCAGCTGGGTGCTTCGGGTTTAACCCGTTCCAGCAAATAGTTCGGCGGCAGTGTTCCAGGACGTGGTGGGTTTTCGCCCGGCAAGCGTTCTCCCTATAAAAAGCCACAAATGTCTGCTTATCAACACTGACGTGGCGGATGTGACTCGCCACAAAATAAAGTCACTGGCCCGTGGATATCCGGAAAATGGTATCCAACCCACGGACGTCAATCGCTTATTCTCACATTCCTACCGATAACAAATAGTCAAAAATTCTGTGGCACATTCAAAAATACAAGCTACATTCATAGACAATTGCCTACATATATACACCACACACACATTCACTGTTATGCCAAACATGTACTCTTTGTACATTTTGATCACACTATGTTAGCTAAACATGATCATGCCTGTACAGGTGTGCCTCACATTGTCGAGAATAAAAGTTTATTTATTTATATAAAAAACTGGTAAAGTCGTGATAGGCTAAATTGGCAAGTCTAGGATTGGTCAAGTCCAAACAGGCTGGTTTGGTATTCGATTCTTTGCAATCGGTTATAAGAGCTAATCTCACACTTATACACACATATTCACAATACAACACACCACGGCTCAGCTTTCCGATGGGGTGAAAAGGTCACTTTCGGAGGTCGAGGAGAACGGCGAGTCACAGTAAAGACATCTTAAACTAACATCCTCTGCTTGCTTAATTCTGGTTGCATCAGCTGGATCGAAATAGCCTCAGCCGTCATGAGTAGGCGCCTTTTAACTCCCTTTGGTATCACAGTCTACAGCGGAGCTAACTCTATTTTGAATCTCCTGAGAGTGTGCTATGTCTAACTCAGCTACCGGACTAAGCTTCCGGCGGTAAAGCCTAAGTATTTGGCACCTTCTGTGGCTTCAAGCCGTTGGGTCGTGATATTCACGATATTGGGACCATGCTGAAAATGTGCACGCGACTTTTTGCCCTATTTGAATTTCACCGCTCGACTGCCTGAGTTTGTTCCGAACCGTGAACTTAATCGCAGTCAGTGAGCACCTCCCACTAACTGCAATTCATGAAGCTTGTCATAAGTTACTCTGTGTACGGCTTTTGTCCACAGTTCTGATCGCATTTAATCTGGAAAATACTCATAGTCGCCGGGGGTATGAACACTCGAGTGGCTATCTATGGGTGTTTGGTCTTCACCACGAGTGGTGTTTCATGGTCGCTGCGCGTCGCACTTGCGGTGGCGACCTATTTGTTCAGTCGAGTAGTTTGTCGATTTCAATACGTTAACTACGTCCTCATAACAAAGCACAGCGGACCAATTGCTGGTGCTCACCTCACATAATTACTGCGCTATTAGCGATCGTAATTTGAGCGGAGTGAGCAGGGTGTGAAATCGCCAAATTGAGTTATCGATGGTTGGGAATATGGGAAGAAATGTTCGAGAGTCGCTGATTCCGAGATGACACCATATTTAGTGATTATCCAGGCAACTAAATCAACGTGTAGTCGAGAACTGAATTAGTACAAAGGTTCTCCGGATTTTTGACTTACTCGCTGGGCGAGGTACTTTGAAGGACTTTGTGGGCTCCTTTGTCACAGTCATCAACTGCGTCAGCTGGATTCCCTTTGATGGTCGATCTTACACCTCCCATTATCGAATTGACTCAAGCTCGGACCAAAATTTTGATGCGCTTCAGGGCGCTTGTCCTGTAATCTTCCATTTTTTCTAAAACACAGTGACCGCCTAGGAATTGTCGGTGTACTCACTCTGTCTAAGATGATGCGACCCAAAAACGTAGTTCCTCTAAACTGGTGACTGTCAGCTGTCGCTCTCGTTTTAACGACCGTCTTGTGAAAATTACGATTACACTAGCCTTATCTTCGTTGACTTTCAATTGCTCACTCGTCTGCGAGACTGTTGCAACTATTAAAGGCACCTCTGTATATTTCACTTCCGATTTATTCGAGCATTTAGTTACCTTTGGACACTTGATACTAGGTTCATCTGTTAACAGATGCTTTTTGGCACTTGATTGGGTAGTTGATGGGTAGGTTTGCACTTGCTATTCCGCGCTATACCGGATATCGGAACCTTTTTCTGCATTTTGTTTTCACATTGTCCTTTAGGCGATTCCATGTGTAAACACGGGTGGCACTTAGAACCGATTAAACACGCTGTCGCTGTGATAATGCTGGTCTCGCGGCTTCATTTATCTTTGTAGCGTTACTGCTCAGACAGCCTGGTATATGCAACCTGGCCGTGTTTTACAGTCGGGATTATGTCATGCAGCTTTGATCAACACTCGGCACTGCCACATACCACGGTGGTTGGACCGCGTTCACCTCGCATGGTCATGCGATCTGTTCGTTACATTTACCAGGGTAATCGTTTAGGCAATCTACTTACCCGTTGTATCCCACAGAACGAGTCTGCGCTGACTCCAAGCCTATCCTTGACCATTGATACACCTAATCTTATTACTGTGTTATTCTCTCGGAGTCTATAGGTGGCATTACAATTGATGTCACCTGAACAGGATGTGAAGCCACCTATTTTCGTGTGCATCCACATATGCTACCTACCATATAATGCATTTAGCGGCTTCGCTCCTGTTTTCAGACTCGTGCGTCCCCTGTCCACATCATCCCGGTTCGCTGGTACGAAGCTGTTAGACCAGTGGTGAGAGTGCGGAGATTCAGCTATGCGTTCCTAGGCTCTGTTCCTATCACTGGTTATTTCTAGCTGAAAAGTCCATGCGAAGGTGATACGGAGCATGAAGCACAGTGTCTTACGGATTGTGTCTTCCAACTGTTTAGAAATCTACACCGTTTCGCCATGTATTTATCTGCTCATTTCTTTAATCGTAAGCGACCCTTCTGTTTGTAGCTCCGAATTCAGTGCATCCGTTCTCTTAGGTTTAGATGCTGACCTACATCTGCCAAACATCGCTTTTGACTGACGTGTACCGTGCACATCATGTCGACGCGTTGAGATGTGGCCGCACATGCTGAGCCACTGCCTTGTCTAGTGGTTATCACACAGGCTCCTCTGTCGGACCAATAATAGCAACGACCTGTTGCGCTGTGATCTAACCGGTTCAAATCACTGTAAACTATTTTTGAGAAACGAACCTTTTGACTACTGGCCATCGCGACGAGACTGAACCTTAACATAGTGCGATGATTTGCGTGCCTCTGCGATTCATTGGGGCGTGTTGGGTGGAGCCACTCTTACCAAATTGTTCAGTGGTTTCGCGGCCCTCCAGGTTGGGGATTGAAGTGAAGGTGGCTCCCTACTTCCTAAAACGGATCTAACGTAGCTCAGAGTCAAAACTCCGCTGCCCTGCGGTCAGATTTTTGAACCAAAGGCTTTGGTTCAGAACCGTAATCGTTATTTTGTCTAGGCCTGGGAAACCTGACAGTATCCTGCCCACGCAATACACCATGACCTAACAATCTCTTGATGCTCTGGCTGTCGCAGAGGATAATGAACGGCGCGCTATCTACTACATCAAGTAGGGTGGGTAGGGGTTTGAGTGCTACTGATCAAGCCTTCCCGTCTTCCTATCCCTCTCGCGCTTTTTCATCCATATCGTGTTGTTCCAACTTTATCTTATTCCCCCTATTTTCTTCTCCCCAATTCGTGGTCTTCCTCCATCTTGGTTCAGTAATCTTCTACTTTCGACTCACACGCAATCGCAGTGCGTTGCTCCAGTCCACTCGACAAGACCGTGTGCAGCCAAACGGACAACGTCAGTTGATTAGCTTCTATTTGATGTCCTCCATCCTCCACAAGACTGGCATGTATCATTGTGCGCATTTTGTTGAAGATTAGCCACTAGGCAGCACTTACCTAAACACTAGAGGCGTTATCAGTCGATATCTTGCGACACATTAGCTGTGGTGTGTTTCACTCTCGGCTAACGTGTAATGATGATGATAATGATGAGTGCTCGCATGATCGATATCCATGGATGCATACTTGCGTTTCGATTTCCATTTTCCAACTACGTATTCCACATTGTTCTGGTTAAAAAGAACCTCTTTCCGCTCAGCTTCCACGCTCATACTCAAGCGCTGCAATTCGCTGTTTTCAGGCTGAAGTACGCATTCCTTCCAATGCCTGCTCCCCTAACACTACTGTCACATTTGAGCAAGTCATCGACGTGCTCGCCGATTCGCTCCTCCACGAAGCATCCACTCCGAAAAAGACGTATGATGACCACTTACACGATCAGCCACCCGATTTGCGAGCTGCCCGTGAAATTAAAACGACCACCACCCGCCCTTGGATAACTTCATCCGATATTCCGTACAAGTCAATTCCAACAGTAGTCGTACTGCACTCAAATTACTTTGCTTCTAGCAGGACGGGACCGCTTTCCACAATGTCCACCTCATCCCTGAGCAATTTGTCCAGTCAGCGTGCCGAACCGTATTCCGGATTGATACACGAGGTAAGCATCCTATGGGACTTTACGTTTAATACTCGTTTCTCGATGGTACCAACTTTTGTTGGTCACCGTGATGAATAGGTATGGGTGTTATATATATTACTTTGCATGCAAATTCCGATGAAATCTTGGTTTGCACTCTACTTTGGCCTACCACAGTCTATCCAGTAATCCATCACATTTTTAATCCAGCAATCTTGTCTCGTTTAACTAGTTTAATCTCTTTTGGGATGCGCTGCATTCTTTTTGGAACTTCGTATTGCTCGCTTTATTTAGTTGTGTTGTGTTCTCTTGACTCCCTTTTTTGTTTGTGTGCTAGTTCTATGTTTCCCTTCGTATTCGGAGCTCCCAGTGTTTCACCCAGTGGTGACCACATTCTGCCCGATAATTCCGCCACAGCCTACAGCTGTTCGCTTTACTTAGGGGATATGCGCTTTCGTTGCTAGGTAGCTCTTATTAGTGTGCGGGACAGACTGTTTCTGTGACGCTTTTTCTGTCAAATCATACTCTTTTTCTCGGCGTTCGCAGAACATAACACCATAGCAGCTTTAGGCCCATTCCCAACCTAGAATCATTGCGACACGCTCCTTTAAGTTACTGCGGATCAACCCACTGACCAGATTCTAGCTAGTTGGTTCTATCCTGTTGACACATTAATAAGAGCTTCACATTTTTTCAGTCGGTTTTGATATCATATACCCCGCCTTGTTCACAGCTCCGGTTATCTAACACGTCTGATGATTGTACCTTAGGATACTCGATTTTTATGCTCCGTAAGATGATGTATTTTCGTTCCCTCGTAAACATAAGTAACACTAGCTCGGTGACCGCAGCAGGTAGGGGTACTCATTCCCAATACCCTGACCAAGTAACCAGCTGTCTGCTAAAGTCATCTAGTCACACTGGCTACATTTATATCGCACAGTGTAACACATCTCACCATAATCCATGGTTACAAGCCGGTGCCTCACCTCCGTAACTAATCGTGACTTAGAAAAGTCACTCTGATCTTGTCTATGCATGCCGTAACTTCTGCAAGGATTAGGCATACAAAACCTTTATTTGCTACGGTGCCCCATCCGGTGTATTGTGGCGTTCATTCTGTAATTTGAACTTGCAACTAACCGGCCGACGTATGTATTAGTGATGGCCCACCTGCCCAGGTGTGTTTATGCTTTATACTGGGTTTGAGAGAACTGTCTTCTTCCGCAGTCCGCAGTTATTTTACGTTCGGAGCAAGGCTAATTTAACTTCGAAGCAGGGCCATGATGTCCACTACTTCTTTTGATCGAGTGATCTTTATGGGTCCTCCGTTTGCCCCTAGAATTCCGGGTTACAAATTCGCAACTGCTACTTGTCGTTCACCAACGTACTGCGAGTAACCGCGGCATTACCAAAACCGACATTCGGACCAAAGAGAAAAATGGTAGTAGGTTGGCCAAATGTTCAAACACTTTGTGTTGTCCATATATGAGTAACGTAATAAAAAATCCATTAGTGTATTTCCCGATAAGAGAAATGCGTTCCAAAGTGATTCTTGCGATGAACCAACAATATCGCTTTCACATATAATATTACCTAGCAAGTGTTGAATTCAGTAATGATTTCAATTTCACGGGGCCTACTCGCTATTTTTCGCAGTGAGGTGTCAGTTCAGGTACGCTGAATATTCAACGCGAATAGGTCCCGACAAAAGCTGATTGGTAAAGTCTTGTTTTATACTCTTTGTAACCCCGAGTATGGTTAAACGACGAATGGCGATGCTTGGCAAATGCTTCAGGTAACACCTGTTTGTCAATTGTTCTTACAGTGGTACAGATGTCGTTCGGAGGTCATTGGTCCAAAACATCCAGTTTTATTACAGTTGCCGAAGAGGTCCGCAGAGCCGTGAAACTTTCCAATACGACCACCTGTTTATGGCCACTAGCCAAAATCATCCCTAACGTTTTCTCCGATGAGCAATCTCCCTATGCATTAACCTGTCTATGACGACGACTTGTTGGTCCCTTGAGTGGTCGGTTTAAACAAGTCTGACTGTATTTAAATCACATTAAATAGTATCATATGTTAGACTTTTGGAAATGTAAAATTAACTTTGGCAGCATTGTTTTCGCAAGCATCTTGGTGTCTTGCGTTGTTTAGTATTGCTGATGATGAAAGCACTGCTTTGGCCTGAAAACCAGTGTGTGACACAGACTTTTAGGTCAGCACCCGATGGAAGGAGTGATCCATTCTGAGGTTTGGAGCTCATGTATTATCAATGACAAATGGTGCATTTCTGACTTGTCTTACTTGACACAGTCACCGACAATGTCATAAAGGCAATGTCATACATATTAACTGCGTATGGCACTGAGGAAGGTTACCAGTTGTCCCGTTTGAGGTGTTCATGATGTTGTGATATCCGTGGGGTTCTGTTAATAACGGCGCGATGTTATTAGAAAACCGCAGAGAAACTCACTAATGCTGCTTTGTCCTCGGTAGCCAACTGTTTGTAATCTTGCCTTGTTGGAATGTAAACCTCTAGATCTTAGACGTTTGTTTAGGGTGTTTGGATTTTGTGTCAGGTCCTCGGCCACTAATGCGGTCATTATGGTGGCTGCTGCGTCCCCCTCCATTCCGTCAATCTCACAGTGTTACAGTGTAATAGCTCGCGTTTCCGCGGCCATCACTTACCTCTATATTTCAACATGCATCTACTTCTTGTAGGACGACCGCTATGCTAGCGAATTGGCGTTGTCTTAAATGTGCCCTAGTTCACTTGATTGGACTTATTCGGGTGCTGCTGTAATAATCTCCTCTTTGTTCTTACGCATTTAAATTCCCAACATATCCCATTAAGAACTAGGGTTGTCTTTATGAAGGAGCGGGGCATCCCCACATATCTCTTACTACGCACTACCCCTAGGGTCACGACCAATTTCGCGTCACAGCCCAGCACCCACTGTGGTCCTCTTCATCGTCAGTTAAGTCTATTGACTAACTTTGCTCTCTTACCGACTGTTGATGTTTCTTGGCCCTTCAACGAGTCACCTGTTACCGGATCAACGAATTCGGGGTATGATTCAGTATCGGTATCGACTTGCCTTGCTGCATAAATATTTGCCATTAGTAAATTCTCCATTGACAACGAACTTACCGTCACATTTCCCGAAACTTTATTTGGCAAGGGAGAATCGTCACTTGTGCCGTCTGTCGTCACGATCACTTCACGTGGCAGTAAACTCACCTATCAAATAGCTTCATCTTATCGTTTACATCAAGAGGCAATGACTACTCGGCACGAGTAAATATCACTTACAATTTTCCTGTTTTATTTGTATCTGCCGTTATTTGAATATTAAGTTACTCAAACAGACCGGTGCGATTTTCACTTTTTATATATCTGTGCACGAGGGTTATGCAGAGCGAAATCCAGTCTTCCACTCTCCTGCAATTGCATTGACCTTCTCAGTGATTGTGGAAAGTTTCTGTGTTGTTCTCTCCCATCACTGCACTCACTGAGGACAATCACACCGAAACCCTCCACTTTGGTCGGATACGGTCCCAGTGCTCGTATTGGCAGAGGCTGACTACAAAGTCAACTGAAGCCACAATTGCGATTGCATGTCACATTCCATGACACATGACGGGTACTCGAGAACCCGACTGTCAACTTCTAACCGTTGTTTAAGACTTTACTCGCGGAGCCTTATGGTCTAGTGATCTTGGCGATAGCAGCCAACCACTGCGCCGACTTCCACTCCCATCCCGGCTCTCTGTACCTGATGAGTCCAAATCAGGACGAAACCGTCGCTCGTGGAATGCAGGGATGGGAGAAAGACACACCGAAACCGTCCATTCCGGTGACGGTTCCAGCGATCGTATTGGCAGAGGCTGACTTCAAATTCAACCAAGCACACACTTGTGAATGCGTGCTGCAATGTAAGACATACGGCAGATATTCCGAAACCAAACATTCCATCTTCTCAATAATTGCCCCAGTTCCGTCCGACTTCTTCCCCGGGCAACCGTTTGGAGCGTTCCATCCTCAATAGAGGCATCAGCAGTATGCCGGTTCGCAATACTGACGCTTCGCTGCCGCGCAACCACCAACAGTCCCACTTGGACTAAGGATACTGCGTGGGTCGCCTGGTCCCTACGCAGGCTCAAACCCGCGCATCAGACTACAAGACAGGCTCATGATCATAAAAGCTTCAAGCTTCCATCTTTATTCATTATAGAGCGACATGTTTTATAATCGCGCGTTCTCGTAGGATGCATGTGCCTGCAAGTGTTGGTTTGCGCCTCTTTTCTCTTTTTTCCATGCTATCTTCCATGAGACTCTCTATATATTGAAACAAAAATCTTTCTGTGGTTTAGCAACTTGATTCAGGTTAAATACCATTTGTTTACGTGTTTACAACCTTTGGGTTTTCTGCATGTGCACTATTCTCTCTGGCTTTTAATTGGTACACCGGAACTTGTGATACGGCATTTTTTTCTAAGGTTGTTCAAAGTGCTCTGTCGCTCACTGAATGCATCATCTTCATCAATACACCTTAGCTGAGGGTGCGAAACACACCTTAGCTAATGTACCGCAATACAAAAGACAAGATACTAAAAATTTACACTACGAAGAATTCAAAAAGTAAGTTTTATCATGTTAATATTATATTGTGCATTTCGTATGTCAGAATTGGAGACGGCATCTAAAGGGGAGTGGGATGGACATAGAAGCTCACAACATAAACACCACTGGAACCGGCTCTTCGCCATGTCAACAAGCGTGTCCAACCAAATGTGTTCCTCGCCCTTGGGACCCCAGCCAGACAGTCAAGATGCACCAACCGACGCCAGTTTCGAAGTGAGAGTTTTCATTCCTCTCGACCAACTCATCGGCTGGCCTTCCCTCCTCTTCCAACCGCACCCCCGGCGCGCAAATAATGCACGTCACTGGAGTCGGTGTGCTGGCATGCGCAACGCGTGTCCCAGCCATCATAGCTGGGTGCGTGATATAATGG